AATGTCCAAATGGTGCAGCACATGATATTCCTACTTATGTTGCCTCACACAGTGTGCAAAGCAATGGGTAGGACGGAGCCCATCTCTCTTCCACATGAGTCCTATCAGCCTGGAGATTATGTCATTGGCGGGATCACATCCCAGGTTCTTCCTCTTTCTTCCATGAATTCTTTCCAGATTTCTCCTTTTTCAGACCGTATGAATACCCAAAGGTGGGCCATTCCTTGTCACTGAATAGGGCTTACTGTTGAAAACATCCTGGAATTTGTATGTCCCATCCTTGTGATACTAAATTTGGTAACCTCCTTCTTTCTATTTTGGAATGTCAGTGTGATAAAATGGGAGTGATTTTCTTTTACCACATTTGCATTCGGATACATTTTGGGTGCATTACAGAATAGACACATCCATGCAATTTTATTGTAAACAATGTAGTAGGAGTTTTTCATGGGAAGTTTTTCTTTTCCTCTTTAAAATTCCTAATCCAGCCTATAGCTGTTGGGTTTCTTGGTTGTCTCCCATCCAAATACAAGCCTGTTCTGAGGCTTTTTAGCTAGTCAAAATCCACCACAATTATTGAGATGCTGCTATTTGCTATAACCTGAGGATAAGGTTAGAATTTCCTTAATTTTTGAAATGATTCAACAGCCGTTTGATCCAACTTGAATCAACACTGAATTCTGATGACCTCATGAACATGTATTTTAATTGTCAACACTACAGTAGTGGTTTCCCTTTAGCTTCTTCTTGAAACTTTTCCCCCTAGGATTTCCTAGTGGTGTCCTATGCAACTAATCATGTCTGAGCACAAGATCCACCAGGGCTGGCTTTATTTAAACTTTCTTTCTAGTCAAATACAACTGCCAGATCTTTCATGAGAATATCCATGCCATTTCCTAGCAGCACGGATGTTACTTGTGGGTTGTGGTTAGCTAGGCTTGGGCTGAGAATCATGGGTTTCCTTTCAGAATGGGAAGGGTGTTGTTAAATTGTACATTTTGATCCTTTTAGTGTTTTCACATGAAATATATATGTAGCTCTATTTTCAGAGTGATCACAGATTTTTACCAGGACAATTTAGCCTTGGCATTTGCCATAAATGAGATCAATGGGAATCTGAAGCTTTTGTCCAATGTCACCCTTGGATTCTACATTGTGGACAGCTACTGCCTTGAAAAACTGTACTATCACAGTGTTCTGCAGCTTCTCTTCAAGTCACAGAGATTTGTCCTCAATTATAACTGTGACTCCCAGAAGAATGTGATAGCTGTGATTGCAGGATTAACTTCTGATATCTCCTTCAAAGCGGCAGACATCCTAACTCTTTACAGAATTCCACAGGTGAGGTCTCTGTAGGTGAAGTGTTTTTCTTTGATATATTTGGATTCCCCCCCCACTTTGCTTTTCAGTATGGTGTTCTCTTAAATAGTGAGGAAAAAAGAGCCAGATGAGATCCAAGGACATTCTCTCTCAGGTGGGCTTTAAAAAGAGATTGGGAAGGATGTCTTTGCAGATCTGGGAAGAACCCCGCTGTAAGCTGGGGAAGGAGAATTGGAGAATCAGAAAATAGCCATAAGAAAATGATGTTTATCCAATTATTATCCTTTCCTTTCTTTTCTTCATGGTATGGATGGGACTGACCTGTACTTCTGTATTCTGAGCTTCTTGTGATCTATCTGTGTCAGATGTCTGTTTGTGTTTCTGTATTGGGGGGGGTGGGGTGATGTCTTTTCTTGCTTAGAAGATTAGCTGCTGAGTGTCGAGGCACTTCAGATTTATGTTGGATATGTGAGCAACAAGAAGGGACATCTTGTCATGTTTGGTGGACATGTAAC